CAAGTATAGCACAGAACCTTCTAGACACATAGTAAGTGGTGTAATGGAACAGATGAACCTGATGACCCCACCATTCCCCTTCAGCATCTCTTGTTCTGTGGGTTTCCCTGGAAAGGTCCAAGGGAAGACAAGGAGGGTTCCTCCTCCCTGTCCTCTGTGGGAGTGTTGATGGGCCTTCCAGAGCTGGTGCAGGGAGACACCTGCTTGCCTCAGCAGGAGCAGGCAGGGCCCCAGAAAACCTCCCACATTCTATAGGGCAACCATAGGGCTACTGGCACCACACAGTAAAGCAGGGGAGGATGAAGGCCCTTGTGGCTAAAAATTGTCTCCTTCCTCGTGAGCTACTGCAAAACTTGCAGTAAGTAGGCACAGAACACCCAGGGATGGGGCTGGCTGGGAAAGACCAACAATGGCATCATAACCCAAGACTCTGGTATCCCCAAGGCTCAAGGTGAAGCATACTCAACTACTGGTGTCAAAACCTAATCTATCAAACTGGGCAAGAACGATGTTGGCATTGGGGAACAAGGCACCTGAGGTATAGATGGAGAAGAAAGGAGCCTAAGAGTCTGGCTGACGCCCACAGCACGGTCCAGGAGCCTTGGACAACAGCCCTGCTGCCACAGCCACTTCATCTGTTCCTTCAGTTCCCAGCCAGGCCAAAACGGGGCTGATATGGGACAAGACCAGGGAGCTCGGGGTTGGGAATCCTCATTCCAGACCAGTGCTGCCTAGCCCTAGCATCCCCCGGGCCAGGGTGGCCACAAAGCCCAGGCCTATCTGGCAGGCACATCTCTAAGAGAAGGTGTTTTGTGGGTCCTCCTTTGTGAACTGAGCATAATCCTCTCTCTCTCACAAAGCTCCAGCCATAGAACCTCTGGGTTACACGTTCATCCCCAGGCATAAGACAGCCCCACCCCACTCAGCCCCGTGTGTCTGCTCCCCTGCCTCTGAGTCTCACCTGTGCATTCAGCCTCAGGATGTGACTATGGCGTCACTCTCCTGCAGCGTCAGGGGCTCCCCTCCAACACAGTCCAGTGCACACACCTGCCACTGTGTGCAGAGCTGTCCCTGATCACAGATATACAGGAGCCAGGCCCGCCCACCTCGGCACCTGTCACAGCCATCTCCTTCCAGCTGAAGCCACAGCACAGTCAATGTTGTTTCTCAGAGGACTGGGCACAGGAACACCCAGCTCAGAGTTTGCCCATGCTCGTCCTCTCACCTCCTCCTCGCTCAGCCCACATCGTCCAGCCTCATAGGAGAACTGTGCCCTCATTCCAAACGTCCTGCCAATGACACCCAGAATCCTTCCCAGAACTGGGGTATAACCCCCAGCTCCTCTCCCAGAAGTGAGGGCATCCCCTCAAGCCATCTCCCAGAACTGGGGTATATCTACCAAGAATCCCTCCCAGGACTGGAGTTCATGCCTCCAGATCCCCTCCTAGAACTGGGATGTAGCCCACAGAATCCCCTCCAGGACTGGGTACATCTCCCCAATCCCCTCCCAGAATCAAGGTGTGTCCCCTGGATCTCCTCCCAGAAACAAATGCATGCCCCAGATCTGTTCTCAGAAGTGTTGTGCATCCCCCAGATCTCCTCCTATCACCCAACATGCTGCTGTAACAGTTTCAGTGACTGACCAAGACTCTGGAGGCAGGTGCTTAATGCAACTGTATCGCCATCAGAATTGAAACATGAAATGCAGATGATCACAACTAGTCATAACATAGAGAGTCCCCCACCTGTAACTCAAGAGGCTGCAGTTCATATTGACACTGGGGAGGCCTGGGCAGAGTTGTCACAGCCACTTCCCGGCCCTCTGGATGACCAGGTGGTCCCCAGGCAGACACTGATGGGCCCAGTGCCTGTGGTACCTGAGAGCTCTGAGAGCCAGCAGGATTCCATTGGGCTCTGAGTGTTCCCTCCCAAATCCCAAAGACAGGCTCCCTGTGCTGAAGTCAGCCATTGGAGGCAAGGAAGACCCAGGTCCCAGTACACCTAGGAAAACAGATGTGGTGTGATACAACCCCAGAGGTGCAAGAGAACTATGAAAGTTGCATCCTCATTCAGCGATAGGGTATCAAGACTTAGCTCAGAGTGGAAGCAAGAGAAAATCACAAAGGAAAATGATCCATGTGAAAATATAAAAGATTGACTTTTTATGCAAAGAAAAGCAATGCTAGAGAAACAGACTTAGGGAAACACAAAGGGCCGCTGTGTTGTACAGGGAGCTGCTCACCCCACTATCAAAGGGTCGGAATGAATGAGCCACAGAGGAGAAAAAGGTAGGAGTGAGACAGACAGAAGCAGAAGGTGGAGGCAGAAATAAAGAGACACCAGACACAGGGCAGCTCAACAGAACCCGCACCATCCTGAGGGCCCCCCTGGGGCTTTCCCACCCACAGCACGAGGCAGGAACTGGCAATCTGCATTTCTGACAGGCTCCCTGTGCTGCTGGTGTGGGTGGCTGTGGCCCACCTAGCACAGCACTACAACAGAGAGCCAAGTGTAATGACATTGCTCGTAAGGCTATAAGGAACACAAGTTTGGGGAAATGCCCCCAAGAACTTAGGAGAGAAATGATTTCATATTTATATTCCTGAAAATGTGACTAAGGGAATCCTTCACGTCTAGAGGAATAAACGTGAGTGTGAAAAATAAACTTCCTTAGACTAAGGTGTCTGGCTGAGATGCTGAGAACACTGCAGGGACAGGCACTAGGGGAGAATAAGCAACGTTTTAAATCACATTTATAATATGAGTGGAGACTTCTGTGCAAACCGCTAAGTCAAAATACAGAAAATAACATTATAAACACACACGAGTGGCAATTATGTGGGGGGAATATGCATAAAGGCTAACCCTTAAAAATAAAACACCATTCAGCAGGGTTAACAGGGCTGGATGACTTTTATCCTTTTGGAAATTTCCTGCTTAAGAACTGGGCTCTGCAGTTAGAGCCTGGATGCGTCTCTGAGCGTCTCTGAGCTGCTGCGAGCCTGGACTTCCTCATCCATAGAGCTGAGAACATAATCCCTTTCTCACAGAGCTGCTATAAAACCAAGTGAAATGATGCACCTTACGCTGCAAAGTCTAGACTGGAAAATATCAGGAGGTAAGACAGTCCATCAGAGAGGCCAGCCAAAGTCAGAAAAGAAAGGAAAACAGGCAAACACGGAGAAAGTGGGCAAGGAGTGGGAGGGACAAGGATGACAGAGAAACAAACACGGCCCCCAAAGCAGTCTTGGCTTTCACCACACAAGGGTATATTAAGGGTGGAAATGGGGATTCCAAAGATTGGCTTCTGGGATCCTGCGGAGGTAATAAAATAAGGTCAAACACCTTGTAGACAGAGCAAAGCACATCTCTCTGCCAGTGTTGATGGCTCTGGTCTGAAAGAAAATGCTCAGGAGAGTCTAGGAAAATGCATGCTTCATGCACACACAGACTCATACACACTTAGGTACAACACACATACCAACACACTTACATGTGTCCTCACGTACCCTCAGACAGACATGTACAGACACACACACACACACACACACAGACATAGAGGCACGCCCAAACACACAGAGCCACATGAACGCAAAACCATAAACACATCAGTATGAACATGCAGATCACATACAGGTGCAGACATTCACAGACACACATGTGCACACATGTAGAGACAGAGGCAAATGTGCACACATCCCTACATGCATACCCCCCAGTGGATACACATATACATACGCACACATCAGGTACCATCCCCCATACATCCGTCCACACGGACATGTGCTCCCACACGTCCACACACAGCAGCAGGTATACAATCTAAACACACATGTGCATGAGAATACAGGAGAAATGGGATCTATTTCTCAACTATATCCTTCCTTTGTGTAAATACTTGGAATACTGCAATGTCTATGAATGAAAATAAATGTGTATGTTTTCAAATTTATAGTCTCTATAACAATATCTTATATGCCCAGTAAGAGCAGAATAAATCAGGCTGAGAAATAGATGCTCTCTGCCCCACCAATAGCACAGTACAAGCCTGAGACCTCAGGATGGTGCTACATAGGCCTGTGAGCCCCAAGGCTGGGAAAAGAGTCCAGCTCCTTCCAGAGAAGGTGCCTGGAATGCACCAGGCCACACTTGAGCCCCTGGATCCTCACTTCTAGGCCCACCTGGGGGCACAGGCCCTGGGCAATAGGGAAGGACACACAGAGGATAAGCCACAGAGGGCACTGGGAACCCCGGAACCCAGGTGTGGCTCCCTGCAAGCCTCTGTGTTTTCCCACATGGCTGCTTCATCCTGGGAATGGGGATGATGGTCACACTGATCCTCCAGCTTTGGGGAGAAGCCCAAGGGTCCTCACAGCTGCAAGGACCATCAGTGGCCATCACCATGATCAATGGATTCCTCTACAGCAGGCGTCCTCAAACTACAGCCCATGGGCCACATGCAGCCCACCTAGGACATTTATCCAGCCCACCGGGTGTTTTTGCCGCCGCTGCCTGTCCTGCTTAGCAGCTGACTTGTCCCAGGGCCCACAGTCCAGCCCTCCAACGGTCTGAGGGACAGTGAACTGGCCCCCTGTTCAAAAAGTTTGAAGACCCCTGCTCAACATCTTCAGGGCAACGGGGACACCTCCACACCCCCAAAATGCTGGCATGCTCTAGGGTTGGCCACACCGAGCTGAGGCTGGGGCTGCCAGGAGCCCCAGCCCAGTGGGTCAGGGCCAGCTATACAGTCACATTCACCCAAGGCACTGCCAGGACCTATCTCCAGCTTCATTGAGGAGATAACACACCCAAAGCCCACACCCAGAACAGCTCCATCCCAGCACCATCCCATCTCTCTAGAGCCACTCAGCCCTCTCCAGGCAGCGGGGCTGCCTATCTATTTAATCCCTGTAAAGCTCAGGGCATCTCCTCCACAGTCCCAGACTCCAGTGTGGACCCCTGACAAGTGTGGCCAGTGTCAGACTGGCCTATGCACTGACCTGCTTCTCGTTCTCATCCTCCAGCCTCAGCCGATCCTCAATGTAGCTCCGGGCCTGCAGGAATGCCTTCCTCTGGGAGCGCTCCGTCAGGATCCTCACAAAGACCCCGTACATGTTCACACCAAAGAAGAGCAAAGCATTGGCGCCGAGCTGCAGGGAGAGAAGGAGGCACCGTGTGGGGCCTGATGGCCAGGCTGTCCAGAGAGCAAACACGATGGGTGCCCCCACACAGCATGGCTGCAGGGAGAGAAGGAGGCACCGTGTGGGGCCTGATGGCCAGGCTGTCCAAAGAGCAAACACGATGAGTGCCCCCACACGGCATGGCTGCAGGGCCCCCACATGCACCAGCCAGGCCCATAGCAGATGGCTGGACTCCCACAGCACTAGCAGGCACAACAAGCTCCCCTTCCTCCAGTCTGGGTCCACAGCATGTGTGACAGCATGTCAAGTTATCAAACAGTATCCAGGTCTCGTGTCACAGCTGACTTGTGTCCCCCAAAACTTATGCTTTGAAGTCCTACTCCCAGGACCTTGGAATGTGACTGTATTTGCAGACAGGGTCTTTAAAGAAGGAATTAAGTTAAAGTGAGAATGATCCAGTCTAACTGGTGTCTTTATACAAAAGGAGACTGGAATCCAGACACACACAGAGGAATGATCACACGAGGACTAGGGAGCGGGCAGCCATCTGCAAGGCCAGGAGAGAGACATCAGGAAGAACCAGCCCTGCCAGCACCTTGACCTGGGCCTTCCAGCCTCCAGACTACAGAAAGTAAGTTTCTGTGGTTTAAGTTACCTGGTGTGTGGCTACTTGCTATGGCAGCCCTAAAAAACCCACACACCTAGAAAATATTAAGGAGAAGAGTGTTCACACAGACAAATGCTCCAGATTCAGTTTAGGATAAATTGACCAAAAAAAAAGAAAGAAGCTTTTTCTTTTTCAGTTTTGGGAGGAAGTGAGCACCAGCACCAGACGGGAAAGTGTGGTCTCCAGACCAGACACCTGTGCTCCTAGGTTCTGCCCCACATCTGATGTATGAGATGAAGAGCCCAGGCTGAGGAGCCAGGGCCAGCAGTGGTTCCAAACTCGAAGCTCAGGAATAGGATCAATCCCAGACACAGGCCGGACACAGTGCCTCTCTCTGCAGCCACTGCCCCTCACCGGCCTCCCCGCTGGTCCATCCCCACATCTCACAGACCACTGGACCCAGGGCTGGACAGAGGGGCCCTTGACGAAGCACGCAGGCCCTTGGGATGTCCCATCAGGGGCCTTGAAGTGGGGCTGTGGTTCATAAGCATTATATGAGCCAGCCTTCCCACTGCCAGCTGCACAACTGGAGAATTTCTATGTGTGATTAAGCCCAGGCATTTCTACCTCTGCCCCAGGAGGCCGAAACCTGCAGGTTCCAGCTGTCACCGCTCCACACGGATTAAACACAAATGTATGCTGCACACTGTCAAACAGAAAGTAGAGAACAAAACAAACACAGCAGCGGGCGAGCAGCTGATCACTGATGGGAGCTCCCACAAGAGTCCAGGAGGTGGCCTACAAGACAGGACACACAGGTATGTTGCGGGGACAAGCACAGGCCTCAGAAAAGAAGCCCCCATGCAGCTTGTGGAGCTGGGTCAGGGAGCAGGTGCAAGAGCTAGACCAGCTAGGACCACAGAGAGCAAGGTCCACGGGAAGAGGGCAGATTCCAGCACCTTTGAACTTGAGGTGTATGAGATGCCTCAAAGATATGTCCATTAGCAGGTTGGAATACAAACCCGTGCCCACTGGCCACATGCAACTTAGAACATCAGAGCCAATCTCCAGGAGGTGACAGAGATGAAGCATGTGAGACAGCAATCTGCAGGGACCCAGTGGACAGCCATCATCTGCCTCCCACAAATGACCTGAACCTTGACCAGTGCAGCGCCCCACAGACAATGTGTGGGGCCCAGCATCACTAAACACCACATGCTGGGAAGGGCAGTAAGTCATCCTTCCTGGGTGGCACCACCCTGACCACAGCCTCTGGGCTACCTGTCACTTGTGAGGGGGCTGGAGAAGGTGGCAAGGTATCCAATAGGACGGTGCCCTGGGATTCTGAAATCTTCATTATGACCCTGAGCATCTCCATATGACCCAAACATTGGCCATTTATCTCTTCTCTCAATGCTCTTTCTGGGGCTGTCATTGTGGAGTGGATATAATTTAGATCTAGCTTTTTCCATGCTCATGACACATAGCACATTAGGCTATGTTCTGTGCTCAGAATCACCAAACCCCTGGATGTGTGGAAAGGGTCAGGCTTGGAGGTGGGAGCTGGTGCCACTGCACACATGGGGTACTGGAGCCACTGGAGCTGAGCTGGTGCAGGCCAAAGAGGGCCCAGCATGGGAGTCCACCACCCACCTTTAAAATAAAACCTCTAATTAAGAACAAAACCTCCCTTTGAGACGATCCACATCTTAGCCTCCTTTCTACCATGGTTACCTTCCAGAACACAATGGGCTTAGATTACAAGCATATGGCAAGGGATTCATGGGAGGGGACACAGAACAGCTGCTGGGGCATCTCAACAAGATGCCTGCCCTTCCCATGTACATCATAGCCCATCCGCATGGGTGGCAGGCCATGGGGGCTCCGAGGAGAGCTGCTGGGCCCCTCATCTCTGTCCTGCACAGAGGGGACCTGAGAGCTCCCCCAGCCTCTGGGGAGGCCCCGCTTACAGGGAAACCCTGCCCTCAACTCCCTATTTCTATGAGTGACAAGTCTGTCCATGCTAGAAAGGGGGCCTTCAAGGACTGCTATTAGGATATCTGAAGGGAACCCTCATCAATAAAACAGACTCTCCTGTGAGAATATTCAGACCCCTAAGGGCCCCAAAAGGCTCCTCGGCCAAACCCCTCTGTAAGCTGGGACTGCCTCCCCTCAGGAGGACCTATCAAGGGGGCTGTTGACAAGGGACTGGGAGGGAAAGGACATTAGGGGGGGACTGTGCCCCTCACCTACCCGGGAGCCATTGGGGGGTACTGTGCCCCTCACCTACCCGGGAGCCACTAGGGGGGGACTGTGCCCCTCACCTACCTGGGAGCCATTAGGGTGGGACTGTGCCCCTCACCTACCGGCAGCCGTTAGAGGGGGACTGTGCCCCTCACCTACCCGGGAGCCATTAGGGGGGGACTGTGCCCCTCACCTACCTGGGAGCCATTAGGGGAGGACTGTGCCCCTCACCTACCGGCAGCCGTTAGAGGGGGACTGTGCCCCTCACCTACCCAGGAGCCATTAGGGGGGGACTGTGCCTCTCACCTACCTGGGAGACATTAGGGGGGGATTGTGCCCCTCACCTACCTGGGAGCCATTAGGGGGGGACTGTGCCTCTCACCTACCCGGGAGCCATTAGGGGGGGACTGTGCCCCTCACCTGCCTGGGAGTCAGGGCTCTCCCACCCAGACCAGGTACCCCCACATCTTCCCAAACCCAGCATCCTCACCCACCAACAGCATCTGCTCATGCAAACATACCACCCAGAGTTTGGGACTTTTGATTCTCCCAGGAAGCACTCTAAACTCATGGCCAATGGGGCGTTTGGATCCCCATGCCTGGCCCAGTACAAGATGGTGCTAATGTGGCTTAGCATGTGTGACAGGACAGAAGATGTGGGCCAGGATCACCAGGAGCTCCCTAGAGACCATGGCCTAGTGGTTGCAGGATCCTGGGAGAGGGGAAGCCTCACTCCCACCCCACCCTGCTGGCTGGATATCCCTGAAGCAGTGGAAGCAGCCTGGTCCAGGCCATCCACATTCCCCTACCACACCCACCAACCACATACCAGGGCCACACATTGCCTCCCTCAGGGCAGGGCACGGGTTGGGGGGAGTGGGATTCTGGTCTTGCAGTCTGGACACACTCACTGGCCCTCATCCCAGCCAAGGTCTCCGTACCAAGACCACACCCTGCCCCACCCCTACCTTCTACCTGCACCACCTCTCTGAGCCACATTCTTTCCCTCTGCCTGAAGGGGTAGCTGACAATCATAATACCTACCATCTGAGCTTATCATAGAGATTGAAGAAGTAATCCAGAAAACAGCACCCAGAATCAGCACCTGGAAACACCCTGGAGAAGCCTCTATGAGACTGAGCAGCCAGGTAGGCAGAGTCAAGAAGAGAAGGGCTGCCTGGGAACCAGGGCTGAGGGAGGCTGAGCCCTGGCACGCTCTGGGATGCAGCTAGAGGAAGCAGGGCCCGTCTGCAGGCCTTAGGACATTTCTATTCTCCTGTGCAGCACCTGTACACATGGCCAGAAAAGGTTTCTCACTGCAAGAGGGGAGAGGAGGTCACTGGGCTGACATCACTCTCAGTTACTAGACTAGCATCCTTGAGGAGCCCTGAGACCTATTCCCAGAGATATCCAACAGTCCTTGCAGAAACTTCTGTCTGATCTGAGACTATCAACCTACGCCCCCAGATACCTACCTCACTTCCCCCAAGCCATGTCTGGGGACAGCTGCTACTGCCCAAGCCAGAACCCGCAAGTCCGCTGCCCACCTCTCTCTGACTCCTTCATGCCTTTATCAGTTCCTATCTGATAGCCCCATGCCGCCCACTTCTCTCCACGCCACTGTCCTGTACCACCTACAACCTGGCTGCAGCAAGAGTCCCCCTCAGGCAGACCCTCTCAACAACCCCAGCTCTGGACAGAGCCCCACTCCGTAGCTCACCGGGGACTGCCAACCCCCAGGCTTTCCTCTGACCCTGTCACTCGCCATGCCTCCCTGTGTGCAGGGTGTACAGCACATGTATGTACATGCATGCACATGCACAGGAGCACACGCCAGCCCTGCCTGGCACACAGCCCTGGGCAGAGCACGCTCTCAGGCACATTCCCTTCACAGCAGCCTCAGCCAGACAAGGTGCTCCTCCATTCACAGAGCAGCCTTCTGACCCCAGGACTGGGCTAGACAGTCCCCTCACCTGTGACACCCCAAGATCAGCCCTCTTGTGTATGAAAATATCTCTGTTACACTTGTTCCTGTTTTCAACCTGCTGCTACCTGGGCTGCCCCAGCACAGGGCACCAACACCAAGCATAGGTGGCATTCAAGCTACCTGTGGGGATAGAAGAACTGGTGCCAGGCTACCCTAGAAACAGCCTCCTCT